GCTTCAGTGAATTTTTATAACGATTTAAAAAGGATGGAACAAAATTAGGAAAAGATTCACTGTCGTAGATTAATTAGAAAAATACTTTATCGATTTTTGAAAAATTGTCACTTACTACTGATGGGTAATTTTTACTAACAAACCTGACACTATCAATTATACAATAATAAAATAATTGTAATCATATAATAATCGATTATTTACAATGAATTATAGCCAAAATTTACAAATATTTTATGCAAAAATTTATTGAGAAGCAGGAAAATTTATTAAAAAGAAAAATGGATTGAAATTGTAATTGTATTGTAATAACATTTCTCTAAATATTTTTATAAAATTTTTTGCTTTGAAAAAAAAAGCCTTTTCTTTGTTTGATTTTTCCTTTCAGCTCATTTTATTTAAAACATTGAGTTGTTTTCAAGAAAAAAAAATATTAAAAATTAGACAGAAGAGAAGGCGAAAAAGTTTGAATGAAAATTTATGAACTTTTAAAAAAATTTTTGGCACAAATTAATAATTATGGTAGAAATTTGTTAAAAGTAAATAAAATTAACAGAAAAAAAAGCATAAAATAAATAGAGCAAAACAAAATGGGATATCCATAGAAGAAGACAACAAAGAACTTTATTTAGAGAGCATGACAATCTAAAATTAAACCCAAAGTAATGAAAGTATGCAATAAGTACAGGTAACAAAAAAAAAAAAAAAAAGCGTGCAATTAAGTGGTGCCAAAAAAAAGCAGGTAAAGCTAACAGTACTATCACTTTTGCAATGATACTGCTAAAAAATCGATTGTTGTACGGAATGGATATTTATTCCTATTTAGTCAAAAATTTCGTATGAATTGATACAAATTACAATTATTAATGGAAGCAAGTTTTTAGTACAACAAAAACAGTCTCTGATTCATCCAATACCGGAAAAAAGAGCATGTCATATTTGTCAATCGGAAATCGGTGAACTTGTTCGGCTATGTGCTTATACCGGAACAATAAATTTTCAGCTCATTTAAAATTTCATTAAATGAAATTGGCAAGTAAAAAATTTTATTCATGATTTTTGAGCAATGATTATTTTTATGAAGAATGAAATGGGAAATAAACGAAACATGTTTGTGCTAACGAAGTCGTTATGTCAAAAGTTTGATTAAAAGTTTAATTATATGCTAACTATTGTAAACATTTTGAAAAAAATGTTATAAGATTGAAAATTACCAAAAGCAATATATTATTTCTAATTATGCTTAATGGCACAATAAAGTATTGAAGTGTGAAATATAGAATGAAAATTGAAAGGTAACAAAATAATTGGCGAAATTGTTCGCATAAAAAGCATTAAACTTTATAATGATGTCATATAGGATTCTGAAATTAATTTTATTTAAAGATGCTGAACTAAATTTTTACCATTTTTTGTTTTCAGAAACTTCAGATTTTAAAATTATATCGAAAATATTATGTGTTTTAAAGTATTTAAAAGGAAGAGGTATGAGAAATGTTGTTTTATGGGCAGTAAAATTTGGTTGGGAGTTCATTACTTTAAATTTGTTTTAAAATGTAAGCATTTCAAATAGCTAGTAGGAGAAGGATTTTGCGTATATACATATGTGTCATTTTCAATTTTTAATATGAATTTAAATAAATGATTGAGCTAATGATGGAAAATTTTTTCCTTTTATCATTGATATCAGATCCATAAAACACTGGCAAAAACCTTAAATTATCACGAAAATGGCCTAAAAATTAAGGCTTTTTTCGAAAAATTCTCATTGAGCCAAAACATTTCGATGAAATTTTTTTGGTGTATTCGCTAGTGCGCGACATATTCAGTGGTTTTTTTTTTAAATTTTCAATTTCCATTCCAATTTTAGGTCATTTAGTAGCATATGTCCATAAAGTCAATTTTTTTCAATTTTTTAAAATATTTTCATACTACCAATATGATAACCTCATATTTGCTGAGAAATGTTCGAAATGCAAATCACCTTCTGTTAGGCCTAGAATAAAATTTTACCATATATCACCCAATTGCTTCCGTTAGTATTGATTGAAGATCATATATAAATGCTAATTTTGTTGGGAGTGGGTAGCCATGTGCATCGATAGCCTTTGTTCACGTATAGTACTGTAATAATAGCAATCAGTGTTTAGTCCTTTATAATGAATAATTTCATTTCAGTTGCCATATTGCATTGTGAAAAATAATTAATTTATGCAAATTTCCTGCAACATTTTTTGCAGGTTTATTTCATTTCGGTTCAATATTTCCAACTTCCAAGACTGAGGCGATATTAACCGGAAGGATAAACTATATTGCTTCATCACTTGCAATTAATGCTTTTAATTTAGATTTTTTTTTTTGCATACAAATATGTTCGTCATAATATTGCAGTAGATTCAATATTGCTATAGGTTTGATCAAAATTAAGAATTTCAATTTTTCTTTTCACAAAAAAAAAAAAAAAAAAAGAAACAAGCGAATATGTTTCTGAGGGAAAGAATGATTACATCGCTTTAGGAAGTTGTATGCTTGAGCAAAAGAAGTTGAATGCTTGACACTGAATTCAATGCTTGATATCGGAAATACTTTTCTTTCTGTTAATTTTATTGCTTCCAAATCCGATAGACTTTTTACAGCGTTGTCAAATAAGATTTAAATTATGGAAAAAAATTTCTTAAGCAAGATTTAGATAGAAAGAAAAAAGTGGGAATTTATATAATTCAATATTGATATTCCTGCAGTAATAGTTGATTTGAGATTAATCAGAGTAATTCCACTGAAAGTTATATTTACTTCTTAAATTTACTTACACATTTTGAAAGTTATTCAGAATGATAAAAAGCCTCACACATTTTGTATTTGCTTATTCATGTGCTCAAAAAGCCTAATCCACCACTAATGTTTCTCGAAAAGAATCTTTTCTAAGGTTCACCAATATTACGATCATTATTCACTTATGATGCTATGGAAGAATTGGATTAAAAGAACAGGAAAAATAAAATTGATTAAAATAAAATTTTTTTATTAAATAAGCATTATATGTGTGAATTCATATTTATATATAAGTAAAATATTGCATTCATTGGTCATTTAACAACAATATTGATAAGAATGGGGAGGAAATGTCAATGTAGTGAGTGAAGTTCAATGATCTTTGACTTTTTATAATATTTTCTTTGGTTTTTCAATTCATTCAAAATTCCCCTACTCTCCTGAAAAGAAAAATTCATCAACACTTAAATTAATTCTATTAAAAAAAGTAGCAAATTTAGCGCTAATTGCATGCACAGTATGGTATAAGTAATAATTCTAATTAATTTTCAATTTTGATTACTGTAATTTAGGATGATTTTTTGCAGAGGATTTATGATGTTCTTAGGTATTTATTGAAAATGTGAAATAAAATGAGCTTGGAAAATATACTATATGAAATTATGGTATGAAAAACTAATCAGAAAAAAATATTAGTTTACCAAAATAACGAATAAATATTATTCATTACTTTATGATTAAGTAATTTAAATTTGTATATCGAAAAAACTAATGCCTAGTAAAAAATATCTTGAATTTTGAAGAAAATTTATTATAATGAATTTATTTTAATTCGTTTGTCATTCTTTTTTTGTCAATTTCACAAAATTTTTTCCATTATTTCACTCACTTAAAATATCAATTTATCAAAACAGCAAATAATAAAAATTCAATTCGAAACTAAAAAAAAAGATTTTTTTTTTTGGACAGGCGAGAATTCTTATATTGCTATTAGACGTAATAGTATATGTCCTTTTTTTCACAAAATAATTTTGTTCGAAAAAAGAAAAGTAATGATTAATTAATTAAACTATTTTCAGTTTCTTGAAATACAGAAAAAAGATTTGTTAATGACTGTAAGATTTTACGATTAAAGAGAAAAAGAAAAAACAGAAATAACGTTAAATTTTCACTATTTCTTTTTCCTTGCGTGGAAAAAAGAAGGAAAAATGTTGCTCATTTTGAGTTAATTTAAATCTGTAGTGTAACACAAGCATATTACGTCACCGTAAGATGGAATAAAGCACTGTTTGCCAGTAATAACATTTCTTTTGTTAGATCAACACACGTCGTCAATGTAGGTTATCGATATTGTTTTTGCATTTTTGATCGGTGTATTATCAATCGGATATATTGTTTACTGTTAAAAATTATTGATCATGTTGTGCACTAGCGAATACACATAAAAATTTTCACCCAGGTATTTTGGACTGATGTAAATTTTTAAAAAATTTTTAATTTTCAGGCTTAGGCTAAGGTTTTGGGCTTGTTGAAAGTTTGGTAAAGCTCTTGCCATTTTTAATCAGTGTATTATCAATCTGATATATTGATTACTGTAAAAAATTACTGGACATGTTGCGCACTAGCTACCATTTGTAAAACTATTGCTGATAGTAATGGTTGTACTACTGTTGCTGCTATTTGTATTGAAACTTGTAGCATTGAATGTTATGTTGAAACCATTACACTGAAACTTGTGCTATTTGTATTGAAATACCTTAGACCTGTCACCGATTTGGAACTTTCGTTGAATGCAAATCAACTATTCTGCAATTCAGTGGTGTGAGACCGTAGTTGGAATGGATTATCGAGTGAATGAAATGTTACTTAAAAATGGCATAAGTGAAATGCCTATTGTCTTCAACGAAACTGTGCAATGGAACTATGAGTTGACAAACGAAACGGATGGATTACCCTACGGGAGACTTCAAGTGTTGTGATAAAGAAAAGTCTTTTTGTTGCCAAAAATTTACTTCCATGTTGTTTGTGTTATAATTGAATGAGGAAATCATATGAGATAATATCATTTCATCAGTAATTTAATAACTTAATTGGAAGTTCTTCATGTATGGCATGCAAGCTACCTGCTCATCATATATTCGCATTAATAATGAAAAAGCTGTTTAGTTAGATGCAAGTAAACACAAAAAGGGAAATTTTATTCAATACGATAAGAGAAATGAAAAAGAAGTCTTAGAGGAACAATACTAATTTTCATATAAAGGAATACAATGCTAACAAAACAGTGAGGAAAAACGAATTAATCTTATAGAAAATACAGCAAAATAGCAATGCATATTTCAGTTTAAAATGTATTTATCAGCCCATCATGTGTGATTTCAAAGAGAATTTCCACAGGAAAGCTTCACCGCATGCAGTTCAATTGAATCTGGGCTTAGCATTGCCATGAACCTTCATGTGTCTTCTCTTCTCATATCCCCTGATTGGGGGAAGCTTTTGTTACATTTCAGACAAGACTACTCATCGGTATGAATTCGCTTATGCCTAGACAGACCCGCTGACTGGGTGAAATTTTTCCCACAATCCGAACAAGAATACGGCTTCTACCGGTATGAATTTCTTATGTTAGAGTACTAGACCCGCTAACTGGGTCGGAAATTTTTCCCACAATCCGAACAAGTATAACGGCTTCTC